AGAAAGATTAAAAAAGACACCAGGAGATGGAAGGACCTCCCATGCTCATGGAATGGAAGACTTACTATTGTAAAAATGACCATCATACCAAAAGAAATATATAGATTCAATGTAATCCCAGTCAAAATCCCCATGACATTCCTTCACAGATTAAAAAAAAAATTCACCCTAAATTTTATACGGAATTCCAAAACAAACAGGGTGGACAAAGAAATCCTGAGCACAATGAGCAACACAGGGAAGGTTACTATACCTAATCACAAAAGGCATTGCAAAGCTATTGTCTTAAAAACAGCATGGTATTGGCACAAAACAAAACACATAGATCAATGGAACATAACTGAAGACTGAAACTTGAAAACATGCAATTTTCAGCCACCTGAGATTTGACAAAGATGCCAAGAAAACTGGAAAATGATAGCATCTTCAACAAATGGTACTGACAAGACTGAATCACCACCTGTAGAAAAATGAAACTAGACCCTTATCTTTCACTTTCTACAGAAGTCAACTCCAAATAGATCAAAGACTTCAATGTAAAACCTTATACACTGAAACTGTTAGAAGGAAACATAGGCAGCACCTTACAAGATATAGGTGTAAGAAAGAACTTTCTAAATCTGATACCAGTTACTCAGGAGTCGAGGTCAACAATCAGTAAGTGGGAATTCATTAAATTTAAAAGATTCTGTACAGCAAAAGTAACAATGAAGGAAGTGAAAAGAAAACCCACAGACTGGGAAAAAATATTTACCAGTGACACATCTGACTAAAGTTTAACACCCAGTATTTATAAAGAAATAATAAAAAAAAACACCATCAAAGAATCAAGAAAATAAATGACCCAAATAACACACACTACTGAACACAGTCTACTCGAAAGACGAAATAAAGATGGCTCATAAACACTCTAAAAAGTGTTCAGCATCCTTAATAATTAGGGAAATGCAAATTAAAACTGCCTTAAGTCTGATTTGCTAAGATAAGAGAAAAATGATACTAAATGTTGGAGGGGATGTAGGAGAAAGGGGCATACTCATTCACTGCTGGCAGAATTGCAAACTTGTGCACGTGCAGCCACTGTGGAAAGCATTGTGGAGAACGCTTAAGAAAATTAAAATGAACCTACCATATGGGAACCAGTTACATTACTACTTTGCATTTACAGAAAGGACTCATCCTACTCCAGAGATACTTGTGTATCCATGTTTGTCACTGCTCTTCACAATAGCTAAGAAATAGAACTAACCAACACATCCCTCAACGGACCAGTGGATAACGAAAATGTCCATTTACACAATAAAGTTCTACTCAGGGGTAACGAAAAAGACCATGAAATCATGAAATTTGCATATAAATGGATGAAACTGGAAACAAGTATACTATGTGAAGTAGCATAAATTCAGAAAAACAAATGACATATGTACTCCCTTACTTGTTTATTCTAGCACCAAACGCTTATATGTGAGTATGTATTCTGATGTAACTGCAGGAGCCAGGAAAATGGAAAGGAAAATGAAAACACAAGTAAAGGGAAAGAAGGAGCCTGAGAGAGAAAAATAGGAGAATGGTGTTACCAAAGGTTAAATGGGTAAAATGGGGGTATTTTAACGGGGGATATGGTGGGAGGCTTTAACAAGGATACCTGGGGTTAAAGGGGAAGAAGAAACTCAAGAGAGGAGCTTATATGAGACAGGTATTATCAAGGGTGAAACGGGGAAAATGGGGGTAATTTAACTGGGGAAAGAATGATGGTTACACAGGGAATGAGAATGAGAAGTAAACAATGCTTAGGTGCCGTGGAAAACTGGAGGAAAACATATTTTGAAAACATGCACATACAATATGTCTATATGTGTCCATGTGTAAAAGTGAAGTGTTTTTAACACGAAACAGTGCCATACATGGGACACATCTCGGAGATGTTTGCCAGGGTAGCTCAAGACACTCACAATAAGTAAGACCCTATTAATAGCTGAAGTCAGGACATACTTTAGCCAAAGGATTTGGAAAAATATAGCTGGAACTGACCTGAAAACCACCTCCCATGAAGACTAGTTCTCATAGATTTAGAGAACACTATGGAATCTGCTAAGGGAGAACATCAACTGATGATTCAACCTCAGTTCTAAGGCCTAGTACGTACTACAATGATGGGCACACCAAACTATATTGGGGGTATAGTGGCACATTTATCTTGGGGATAAAAAAATCCCACTCAAGAGGAGGGAACTCATGTGTGGTACAGTAAACATAGCCAAATACACATGGATGGAATGATCATACATCTTAGAGAAAACCCGAAGGCTGTCACATCCCTTGACAAGTGTGCTAAATATGGATCCTTATATTTATAGAGAAGTATGCCTATCACCATTCATCAAAGAAGCTTCTTTTGCAACAGATGGAGATTATTACAGTTCTACAACTGGTTATCCACAGAGATCATGACTTGCCCAACCCTAAATGACATATCTGCAATGGAACCTCAATATCTACTGCTCACTTAACATAATGGGAGAAGGGATTAAGAAAATACTAATGCATATCTCTACTGTCAATGAAACTCCCTCATGCAAAAAAGGGCCATGAAGAGAAAAGGACAGAAATGACCAAAGTGTAGAGAATCAGATTCTGCAGAGAGTGGGTCTTTGGAAAGGACTCCTATATTAAACCTCACCCACCCAGGGCTCAGGGATCATTGTGTAAGAGGGAGAGGAAAGATTGTAATAGCCAGGGGAGCAAGTTCACGACCTTATGGAAATAGTCTTACAGGCTCCTGGAAACTTGCTCATATGAAAGTATAGCAATATTGTCAGCACGTCCAAAACCCACGCAATGTCAAGGAGGCAAAACTCCAGCATAGAACTGTAGAAATGGACATCAGACCCCAATTGTAGCCAAAGAACTATAGGCAGCTGATTACTGCTTAATGAGGAAGATCTGATTTTCTTAAAGGGAAGGACTCTAGATAGGCTGATAAGAACTCAATGGAAGAACTTGCACTGAGGGAGGATAAAAGTTGACATGATAGGCCTTAATACTAATGACAGAATGCATGAAATCCCATGGAGTAACTATGGGAGAATGCCAATGGGAAGGGGGCATAAAGATGTTTAAGATGTCCTGTATGAAATACACAATAATCAAATGTAAAGTTTACAAAAGTATCTGTTTTGTACAATAATGTCCCCATGGATGTTTTTTTTTTTTCAAACCAGGCTGGTAATAGTACTTCCTACATCTACTGCCAGATTAAATCCTCACCCAAGAACTACGTTTGCGTATATGTGGCAAATCTTCTGAAGCATTTTCTTCTTGTAATGCTGAAAGGTTTATATAGACCATGTTTGTGTGTGTCTGTTCCTTATAAATGATGTGGCAAAATAAGCAAACCATTTTTGAATATGGACTTTATAAACTAAGTTTCATTTAGAAGGACAAATAACTCAGTTTTTCATTTGTCAAAATTCGTGTTATCATATGTTAGTATATGTTCTAGAAAGGATTTATAATTCCTAATTAATATTCTTTTATTTACTTGTCTTTTTATCTAGCATCTCCACAAATATATATATATGAGATCTCCAAAGCAAACCCATTGATCCTACTCTTCTAAGGGGTTATACGTTATATTTAAGAAATTGTCTTGCACTAGGAAAATAAAGTGTGTGTGTGTGTGTGTGTGTGTGTGTGTGTGGTTTTCTTTTTCATTCATGTAAGCCACCCTGTCTTTCCAGGGAATGGGGGAACTCATGGATCTAAAGGGTACAGGAAGCTGCAGAATCTGTGTATGCTGGGAGCTGCAAGGGAAGATAAGGAGGACTGGAATTGGGGAGCTCACAGTGTAAAAGTGCTCACAGGTGTGGTGGCACTCACAGGTATGGCAGATGTGTAGAACTGAATAACTTGAGCAGACACAGGAATGCTGGGTATGGGGAACTTATGTTCTGGAAGAGCTTGAAATTGCAAGCTAGGCAAGGTTCTGAAACACCTGATCAGATAGGATGGGGTGGAGGGAGCTAGGGTCAGTGAACTCACTTGGCTTGGGAAATTAAAAGGTCTGTGGCATGCATGACACTGTGAGACCCAAGTAGGCCTGAGAGTCAGGAAGGCAGATGCAGAGAAAACTCACCCGACTATGGGGAACTAGTGTAGGCCTGAGAGGTGAGATGGAGCTCACAGAATGGTTTTCAGTGTACTTTCCAGAGTGACATAAAAGATCAAAGACTTTTAATATATTTTTTAAAAGAAAACAATACACTCACTTTATTTTTCTAGTCCAGGGGAATTTGTTAAATATACCCTATAGAAGAGTGGAATCAATGCATTTGCTTTGCATAGAAAAAATCCCAGAGCCCTCCCAAGGAAGGAGGAGGAGACCTGGAGATTTCACTGAAATCCAAGTTAATTAAGAGCCTAGTAACTTGTTTCTCTTGCTGATCATTTTACAGCGATTTTCAGTTGTGAGTGTGGAGCTCTGAACTGGACAAATACGTTAGTTGCACTCTTTCTGTGATATGGTCAAAATGATGATAGGGTTAACTGAGTATTGCTCATTTTTCAGGCTAAATGCTAAGCAGCTTATACAATGATCATAATATCCATAGTCACTAGTGATAGGCGTGACTAACAGTTGTTCATATTTCTGGGATTGTTTCAGGACAGCCATTCTCCTTGATGGAAATTAGCAGGAATGAATGTCCAGGAACAAGAGGTAAAAGTAGCATATTGCCCAAAGAAAGCTACACGGACATTGTCTTGGCCCAGGAACAAGTGTCTGTTCTCAGTAGACAAATCTATGTGATTTTCTAAAAATCTTCTTGAGCATCTGGGGAAACCTGGGCTTGTGCTGAGACTCTGAGATTAGCCCAACCATGCCAGCAGCTGTATACAACCTTTTCGAAACCCAAATGATTTGCATGTGCTCAGTCATGGTCCACTGCTTTAAGAACCTCTTAATAGGATGTTCACACCCTGAGAAGTTGTCATTCCTTGTCAAGATACAACATGAACATGAGGGGTCCTGCTCAACTCCTTGGCCTGCTGCTGTTCTGGTTTTCAGGTAAGGAGATGTGTAGGTGTTTTTTTATTTAAACTTTTAGTCCAGGAACTATCAGTGATGTATGGCTTTTCAGAGAAGACATTTGCATGTAATTAATACTATAAATTTGTCTTATGTTTCCAATCTCAGGTGCAAGATGTGACATCCAGATGACTCAATCTCCATCCTCAGTGTCTGCATCCTTGGGAGACACAGTCACCATCGCTTGCCTTGCCAGTCAGGGCATTAGTAATTCGTTAGCTTGGTATCAGCAGAAACCAGGGACTACTCCTAAACTCCTGATCTATGGTGCAACATACCTGCAGTCTGGAATCCCATCAAGGTTCAGTGGCAGTAGATCTGGAACACAATTCACTCTCACCATCAGCAGCTTGGAGTCGGGAGATGTTGGAACATACTTTTGTCAACAGTATTATAGCTTTCCCCCACATTGATACAGTTCGTAACATAAACTTCACAGAGAAGCAGATGTGTGAGGCTGGGTTGTCCCAGTTACAGCTGCTGAACTTGTGACTGCTATGAGCCTTTTGCAGACAAAGCTGGGTTTGGATGATCACTACAAGGATTTGTTAGGAGAATTCGAGGAGGCTGCTCTGTATACCAACTCTTATTCTTCCTCTTCAGCCAATGAAGCTCAGAAGAAGAAGGACACTCCTGATTTGTTAAAAGACTCAGATGTTTATATATAAGATAATTAGGTTTAACATAATTGGGGCTCATACTCCTATTGCCATTGCTCTTTGTTACCCTGCAGAACTCGATGGTGAGACCCTATTCCTGAAGAAAATACATACATACATTAGTTGTAGAGCAAACATGGAGAAATCAAACTCATACTAGCATTGAAGCTTCACCTCTACTGGCTAGCTTTCATAGGTGCCAAAGTTGTTGCTCATGCTACCACAAGAGAAAATTAATCATTAACATTACACAACTGTGAATCCTGTGAATACAGTGACAACTAGCCAGGTAAGACTTGCTCAGTGCTGCCATAATGGCACAAATGACATGACAATGATGAAACACTGTGTGATTGGATTTAAGGTCCACTTCACATGATGGAGCTCATATCTGGCACAGTTTTTTGGGTCAATAATTACTTGCCAGACAGGTCACAGAATGTAGTGGAGAACCTACTGTTAACATTTTGCTAAATGGGCTTAGCAATAAGTTGAGTCCAAATGAATCATCATTATATTCACTGATTAGGACATCTCAACTCTCACCAGAGAATATTCTTAGTGAAGTAGGAGGCAATTAACACAGAGACCCACAGTGGTCAACAGGTACATAATAAGAGACTGTGACTGGAGAGTGCTTGGTCCTAAATGGGACTCCTATATCACAACATGTCATTTGAAGTTTTAAGTATTGTCTCAGAATAGAGATTAGAAAATTGTAAAAGCCAGAGGTGGTAGATAAATACAGGTACCACTTTTTTTCTGAACATAACAAACATGTTACACATATGAACCAATGGGGCCTATGGTACTATTTATAAGACCTTTGGAAGCAAGTCAGGCATAAACCCAGTATGGAGGGTGAAGTTAGGCAAGAAGCCCTAATCCTAGCTAAGGAGTGTTAGCAACTAATAGCTGCTTAGAGAGGGAGATTCAATTTTCTTTAAGGATGTGACACAGGGTAGCTTGATCAGGCTCTAGAGGATGGACCTATACACAAGAGTATTTGGGGAACAAAAATTAGACTCTACAGGCCTTAAAAAAATAATAGAGTCCATGAAGTTAGGGAGCGGTAGTTGGGAGTTCAAGGTAGACCTCTGGGGATAGTGAGAGATGGTATGAATAGTAGCAAAAAATTTTATAATCTCTGAAATTTTTAAATTCTCTATCAAAATATTGCTTAAAAATCTCTGTACAAAGCAGCACCAAATTTAATTAAGGTGCACTATATGAAATGCACAAAACTTGGTAAAAAATTGGGGAAAATCTCGAAAAGAGGGAGAACATACATTACTTGATTTCCTGGGTTTGTTTTATTTCACTTACTCTAACAGCTTCTAGTCCCACCCATTTATCTGCAAATTTTATAATTTTGTCTTTTCTTCCTGCTGTGTACAGCTCTATTGTGTAAATGTACCACATTTTCATTATCAATTTGTCAGTCAAGGAACACTTAGGTTGTTTCCATTTCCTAGTTATTGTGAAGAGAGCAGCAGCAAACATGGATGAACAGGTACCTCTATAGTAGGATGAGTTCTTTGGGTAGATTCCAAAGACTTGTATAACCAGATCACATGTACAAAGTTGTGGAATTTTGGAAAGCAGTGTGGAGAACTTTCAAAAAATTAAAAATGAATCTACCATATGATAAGAAATATCTTTAAAGGTGTTTGGCAGTCTTAGTAATTATGGAAATGGAAGTTAAAACTGCTTTTATATTTTATCTCATGCAAGTCAGATTGCCCAAGGTCAGGAGAACAACCGACAACAAATGCTGGCAAGAAACAGGGAAAGAAGAGCCCTGTACACAGCTGATGGGATTGCGAACATGTGTAGGAACCCTGGAAATTCGTGTGAAGAATTCCAAAAAAAACTAAATGTAGGTCTACCTTATGACCCAGGTTTGAAACTGTTTGTCATGTTCTCAAAGAATTTGATATCTAATGCATAGATACTTGGTCCTTTATATTGGCACTATCTTCACAACAGCTAGCAAATGGAAATAAGTTGAAGATCCTTCAACTGATGAACAGATAATAGTCATTCGACACATTAAAAACAATGGAGCTGTATTCAGCAGTAAAGAAAAATGAAACCATGAAAACTGGCAATAAATGTAATTGAAAAACATTATACTGAGTGAGGCAATTGAGATCTAAAAAGGCATTTTCTGTTTCCTACCTCTGAATTTTATGTAAGAGTATACATATAATCTGAGGTAACAGCAGAAGTCAGGAAAGAAGAAAGGAAGTGTGAAGGGAGAGGACGGAGCTCTAGGGAGGGGATAGGAGTCATCCTCTATCATGGAGAAAACAGAAAAGGTAGAGGATCTTTAAGTTGGAAGGGTGGAAGGAGGATAGCACAGAGAAAGAGAGAGGAAGGAAAGATAAATGATAGTTTGAATGTCTAAAAAATCCACATGGAAGCATATTAGTTTATAACTTACTTCAAAATTACATCTTCTACCTATCATCTATCTAT